CCCCAAAACCCCAAAACCCCGAGGACTTAAAAAATATAGATTGATATTTATGCAGAGTAGCCAAATTATGAATAAAAGTATTATTTTCTTTTAATTATCAATGGAATCAAAGAATAGCAGTAAATTAATTCTACTTTCTAACATGAATAGTGCCGAAGATAGTCAGGAGGGATGACCTTAGACATCAATCAATGACAAATATAGATGATAGTTACTTGAGTCACAGAAGAAAAAAGATGATTGAGCATAGAGACAATCATGACTCTCAATTGTCAGTCAGATCATTAACGCGTTCACTGACCAGGTATTAGCATTTATTATGAATTTTTATTGTAATTAGAGCTAACAGAAAAAATTCAAGCAGGCCAAGTTCCTAGCAGTCCTCAAAACAGGAATCAGAGGAAAATCTCAACCAGCAAGTCCCAACTACTCAGATTCTTATCAACAACAATGCCAATCATCATTTAAATGTATCACAAGGAGAAGAAACTCTTGTAACAGGAAAGGCAGACAACTCAAATATTATTGAAGAACAGGATCAAGAAGAGACTATTGGTGACGAAGTAGTTATGAAAACTTCAACAGGCCAAATGGTATAAGCTTAAGTTAAGTAAGGCGTCATAACTATGGATATGCTATTAGAACTATAAAATAGCAAAAAAGCAAATACTAAGAATAGTGATCGCAATGATGATTTCATCTTTCCAAATAGCTAATATGAAAAACCATTAACTGATTCTTGGGAAAAATCTATCAAAGAAACGACAAGGTCTTTTATAGGAGATCTTTTGTTTAGATTCAAGCCTACTCCATCATTTTAGCCAGCTAAATCAGATCAAAATGATACTGATATCAAAGACACTAGTGAAATAAATCTTAATAAAAATTCAAGTAGCCACATTCAATCATAATCAAATTACGGTATTGAAACTACTGTTCTGTAGTCAATTGATCACAATATCATTAATTAAGACTCTGTCATTAGAATCAATGATTCCTCAATTTTAGAGTTGTAGAGCATTGGTGATTTAGACGAAATTGATAAAATATCGAAGCACGAAGTTGTGCTAGAAGATAATAATGATTTCTAGGGTGAGTATAAAGAAGGTGATTTGTATGAAGATAAGTTGGGTGAAGTTACAATAGAGGAAGAATGCAAAGAAGATCTAGACTAAGAAATGAAATTAGTTGAGCTCAGTGAGACTTATGCTAACTAAACACTTCTGAGTTTGGTCAATGAAATACTATAAGAAACTGAAAATTAGTTAGATGCTGATCTTGAAGAATAGTTAGCTTTAAATCTGGTGAGTAAGGTAGAGAGCACTTAGATAGAAGTTATGGTTTGTTCTACAATAGAAGACATCCTAAACCAAGTAGCCATATTTGTGACATAATCCGAAAAGCCATCTCATTAAGAGGAGTTTTAGTCGCCATTATCTTTGAAATACTAGAGTGGAGTTAAGAATGAACCTTTTGATAACTTTCTAGATGTATCATTTAATCAGTTAAGTTAGCAATAAGATAATCACCAAGCTTTCATAGACATGTCATTTCAAGATAATAATTAGAAAAAAGATCAATCCTCTTCTGAAAATTTAGAAATTGATGAGCCTATTTAACACTAATATATCGATACAGAATAAGATGAGAAAGCACTAAATTTAACAGAGGATGCACTTGATTTACTTTTTTACTATATTATCAAGGAAGAGTTCAAGCAATCTTTGGTAAAGTCAGAAAAAGACACTGAAGATTAGGTTGTAAGAGTGACTATGTATAGATTAGAAGATCAAATTATTGAAGAAACAATGACTTCCCATATAGAAGACCTTAAACAAGATATGTATGAGAAATTTCTAGATAAAATATGCATGGAAGCCCAAAATAAAGTCATTTAAAGAATAGTTCATGAGTTTCTGTTACTATATGAGTTGGGAAGTTCTGATAATGCGGCTAATTTTATTGTAGACTTAGTAGAAGATAAAATGATTGATAGAGTCGTTGATTTCCTAGATAAAGAAGAGAGCTTAGAGGACCTAAGAAGACATAGTAATGCTAGCGAATTAAGATCTGCTGGAAGTTAGAAGCGAATCAGCTAGGTTGAAAACTAAAATTACCTTAATGACTAGATTATGCCATAGTAATTTATAGTGAAAAAGAAGAAGAAAATCAGACGCTCAAAAAGTCCAGGAAATAGAACTAAAAACTAAAGCGAGGTTTAAGTTGAGAATTTACTCGATATAGATTTCTTTGAGAAATGCTTCTTCGGTAAAAAACTTCACATGAAGGATCAAATAATATTTAAAATTTATGCTAATGAATTACTGGAGATTATCAAGAGTAATTTCACTACTTAAATGAAAAAGAAATATAAAAATCTTGTTAATAATAGAAAAACCAGGAAAGCCAAGAGAGCATTTGAAAAGTATGATTAATCTCCAGATTTAAATAGGACCAGAGAACATATCAAAGCATAGTTAATGATGACTCCACAAAAATAGATACGGAAATCTCTCACACCTGGAAATAATCTTAACAGAAATAACTCTTCGTAATTGATATCCTTAGACATTGTTCACGGAAATGTCAAAGTAGGATAAACTTTCAGTGCAGATGATCCATTTAGAGATTAGAATTAAACTATACCACAATCTAGCCACCTATAGATCAATGAATTCTCTGATTAGCACAATACTATGAATAATTCAAGTCAATAAAATAACTAAGATTAGAATAGGTTTAATAAACTTTAGGAGAATCAATTAGAAGACTAAAAGCCTTAGGTAAACACATATTTTATCAATGTAAAGGATGAAGATAAATACACAACAGGAGACCAATACAATATGCAGCAAGTCGCTTAAAGTATGTCAATAAGCTCCAAGCCAGTGTCATCATCACAGCAAGAAAATAATACAAGTATTTCTATGAGATCTAGGAAGAAGCGTCAGCCAAGTTAGTTAAGAGATCTTACTCCTGACACCAATTTTATATGTAAAATAAATGATTTTAAAACATTAATAGCCCCAAAAAGTCCGCCTAGATAGTAGCAAGTTAAAATTTATCAAAATTTAGAGAATCAAATCAAGGACATCTTGAAGTTCAACAAAAACAGCAATCAAAATCTTGTTAAACAGATCAAAATAAAGCGTAGAGGTATGAATAATTAATCAGAGAAAGTATCTCCTAACAGAAATACTCTGCAGTCAAGTAAAGCTCAGTCCCGTGAATTACCTGCACTAAAAAAGCCTGGTCCCAAATATAGAATACAGAATTATATTTCAAATACTATGCAAAATAGTGATAATGAGACATTAGAGTAATAATACTATTAGGTTCAAAATCAAAACTATCTTTCTGAGGCACCTTTAAATTTTGCTTTCTAAAAGCAAACTAACTCCAGTAATGATTAAAGAAAAATGAACCAAACTCTACAGCATGATGATAATAGATTACAAAATAATGTCTTGGAGTAATACAATGTAAATTTTAAACAACTAAGCAATTAAGCTTAACTCATGAATCAGACTATGATAAGAAGAAAGAGGAACTATTAGAGAGCTCAAAGTCTTACTAAGGATATCCTAGATCAAATTAGACCTATAAGCGTCAATAAGAGGACTATTGACATCAAAAAGGTAATGCAGAAGATTCAGATGCGAAAACAAGTTAATATGCTTAATGCGACATAAATCCTAGATTTAGATGATTCATCCTATCAAAAAGGAAGTTAAAGACCTTTCTCTTAAGTGAGGAAACGATTTTAGACTCCTTTGAATCAAACAATGATTACAAATATGAAGAAAAGGGATTCAAGAGTAGTACTCAACTCAGACAAATATCATCTTTAAAATACCTCAGTTCCTGATTATTCTTCCAATAGCAATATAAATGCCATAAACACTGAAAAACTTAATCAGTAACTTAAGAGAAATAATCTATAGAATTAGACTGACACTACATTAGGTACATATGCCTAGCTTAATTAGGATAATGTCAATAATCAAACATTCAACAAAACATAAATTAAGAGAAATTCAACGTAAATTTAAAATCATGAATAGCTGTTTGGCAATTAGTCTTCTTTTAATGGAGCGACAGAAATGCATCTTACATCTTTGGGAAATTTTGATAATAAAAAAGAGGAACTACTCATTAAACAACAAAAGAAAGTATAGAGAATTCAGTCTAAAAATGCTTATTAAAATATTCAAAGCAAATGATTTATTACTTAGTTGAGCTCTAAAAATTATGCCTATTTATATATAGTTTACATTTGATTTTACTAAAAATTTTAAGTTAAGAATAATGATGGGGTTTTGGGGTTTTGGGGTTTTGGGG